ATGCAATGGGGCAATCAGAGAAAAGGTGTTGGATGGAATTTGGTGTGGAAGGACAATGAGGACAAAAGATTGAATCAAGAGAAATATTGATAACAGAAGGTCCAATAGGCAGAGAAGAGTGTGCAAGTTTCCAAAGATTCCTCCATGATTTCTGACAAGTTACACAAACATTTCCAAGCTGCAGCATTTTCATTTCACATTTAATTAAGATCTACCTTTATGATTCCAGAGAAATGGACTAGTATGGAATCTGAATGTGTGCATAATGGAAGCAACAGCAGCAGATATAATATTAGGAACAAATTTCCTAATCAAATATGGAGCAATGTTAGACCTCCCCAGACAGCAACTGATTCTAACCAAGACAAAAGAGTACCAAGAAGTCATATCATTAGTCAAGAAGAAACAGTTACAAATAAGGACAGTGAGTGCAATAGAGCAGATGGATATTGATCAACCCCAGGAGCATGATGCCATGGAGGTTGACTATAATCCAAAGTGGAAATGCTCAGATGGACTGAAAGAATTCCAATGCATGAAGAGATTTGTACCTGATGATGTAGATGAAGATCCAGAACCATGTGTTAAATGCCACAATTGATATTATGAACAAGTGAGCTATGCTGAGGCAAAAGTGAAATACAACAGTTTCAAATATACTGCACACAGTGACAGCTGTGCATTTCATTATCAACATGGCCAAGGCTATGATGAAGTAGATGATGCTTATGCCTGGTACAGAAAGGCACCCAGTTGAAACCAAATGGAGATGTAGTCAATAAGAATGTGATATACGGGAATGTAGGGAGTGATTGGACCAAGTATCACCCTGAATGGAAGCTGACCACTATGAGAAAGAAAGACCCATGGTATGAAAAAAGAACCAAGAAGTGGAAGGCTCAGTTCATAACGTCCCAGAAGAAGATGAAATAGCCAGACAAGCCCTAGAAGCCTATGAAGAAAAACACCAGAAGAAAGAAGTGTATGAATTGGAAATTCCTTATGTCATCCAACGACATAAGAAGTGACAAGTTAAATGCAAAGTTCAAGAATCACATTGCATCATAAATGATCAACAGATTGAATGGGAAGAAGTGAGGAAAATACAGACAAAGTTTACCAAATGACCTGAATGACATGAAAGACCATATCACTACAAAGGACTGGCAACAAGATGTTGGGATTGTATACACCTAAACGGACCTGACAAGCATTGTGAGCATTGTGTTTGGATGGTGCAAGTATGCTGAACAATAGCAGCTCTACCAGATGAAAGACTAACCAAGCTCAAACCGGAAGGAAAGCTTAAGACTAGAGTATGATTATCCCCATGGCAAGAAATTGTCAGGATCGAGGCCTAAGTACGACATATTCCTCCATGATTTCCGCTCAATTCTCCGATTCCGCAGCACAAGAAATCCAAGTAACACAGCCACCGATAATTACGCAGCATTAGCATTGTGCGGATGTTGCCAAAACGGGCCAAAAACTTAGACAAAACGTACTAGTCCGCTTATATCCATAAATCTAG